GAAAGAGAGAGCGCGAGAGCGAGAGAGAGAGTAATGGGAGATATAGAAATAGAGGGGGAGAGAGAGGGAGAGAGAGAGCGAGAGAGAGAGAGTAATGGGAGATATAGAAATAGAGGGGGAGAGAGAGGGAGAGAGAGAGCGAGAGAGAGAGAGTAATGGGAGATATAGAAATAGAGAGAGAGAGAGAGAGAGAGGGAATCCAACTAGGAATGAAAGCTACACAGAGATGCATCTATCACCGGTTGTTGTGGTCACCATACATATTAGTTAGTAACAGTCACTACCACGAGGTGGCGTTGGCAGCACATCACCACATCACTACTAACGGCCCGTGACGTCATGCCATGTATATTGATGGTGGCGCGGCAACGTATAAAGCTGATAACTGGTTTGTTTCTGCCTGCTGGCTGTTGTTTACCACGCGATGGCACGAGTCTGGGTCCCCAACGTAGACTGCTCTCCCTGTCACCTTCTGTCCTCGTCACCTGCGTTTGTGCCATGTTTTTCTCATACTGTAGTGTCTGTATGTAGTCTACATACTGTAGTTATACTGGCGTCACTGTAGTGTACGTTACGCGCATGTCACCGAGCCTGCACGCATTCATACGTGTGTCGTGCCACCATGCACACCACAGCTGTAGACTCGCACAGTGACAGCACTTATTTTTGTAATCGCGGCAACATTTTAGGAGATAAAATGCAAAAGTTTATATATAAAAAAACACGTGAGTGTGTGCCTGTGCGTGCGTGCGCGCGCGTGCGTGCGCGCGTGTGCGTGCGTGCGCGTGCGTGCGTGCGTGCGTGCGTGCGTGCGTGCGCGTGAAGTGAGATACACTTGGTGGTCCTCACAATGTATGCCACTGCAGGATCAATATTCAATATCGATGGTCAGGATCTATATGCTGAACTTATGCTGACTGTACACAAGACTCTCGGTATATAGTTTGTCATTTTGTAGGCAATCACGTGGGTATCGCGTTGGTATCGTGATGTCGATCGTACACGCGATGTCTTGATGCGCTCGCTATACGTGTGTTATCGTGGATAACATCAAGAGTCCGTAATAGAACATATATAATCTAGAATAGATTTTCTATTATAGACTCTTGATAATGTTTCATCGTGTATGTATTTGATAATATTTCGTCATGTGTAAGGTAATGATGTTTGTGTCATTTTCCCCCCAGGTAACTATAGCAACCCCCACTACCCCTCTATGCTTGGTATTATCAGCTGGAAGTGTGTGAATATATTGTCGTGTTGTTTTTGTTAATTTTAGGACTATAGCGTTGTAAAGTGTATGCATGCTGTCAAGGTATTATTAGCTCTTGATGCTGTGTATATCGAAATAGACATTTACAACTGATATACAGACATATTTTTTCGTTGTTGTTGTCCTGTCCAGTATAAGATATGCCACCATTCTACAAGCGAGGCACGTGGGAGTGTATGATTCCTGAATAAATCATGATATAAAAAAACTTTTGCTAAATGATTATTTTATGCCGTTGTTGTTGTTAAACAGTAAATGCAAAGTTACGACATGGACGTCAGTATTAGCACCATGTTCACACATTATAATACTATCTATCTATCTATCTATCTATCTATCTATCTATCTATCT